ATATCCTCGCTATCAGCCTTAGAAGAATGTCTATCAGTCTATGAGGCAGCCTCGGAAATGACGGTTAGCTGGCAGAAATCAGTAGCCCTCACCCCCGATGGCCAACCTCTCGTCCTGGATTTAGGAATCCCTACCAAACAAAAAACAGACTCTGAACGATATTTGGGTATACAGATCTCCTTTGGGGACCCCACAGACACTCAAAACACTCTGGTGGAAAACAAGAAAAGGGATGCATGCGCTACTTGGTCCAAGACCCATTTTCTGTCCTTAATGGGCAGGGCAATGGTAATTAACTCCATCAGTTCGAAAATCTGGTACGTCCTGTCCACACGGCCACTCCCACCGGAATCTGTTACCAACATCAGAAGACTGCTAACGCGACTCCTGTGGAAGGGCAACTCTGAATCTAACTCCACACTAAGTAAAGTAAACTGGAAGAAGATTACAAAAAACGCAAAAACGGATGTCTGGGGATCCTGGATCCCAAGACCCAAAATCGCGCACTCCTAGCAAAGCGGCCGGTCAGGGCACTTGCCACACAAGAACAGCAACCGTGGATACTCTTGGCCCAACAGTATCTCACCATTGAATGGCATCTCTCAGACCCAGATGCAGTCTGGCATGCCCTCCTCATGCGCCCCTTCACATCCAAGCCTGCTGGCAACACCTGGAGCGGTATCCTCAACGAATGGGGGAAAATGCTCCCACAACCCATAGAAGACCCTTCCTCCAATAACGAAATCCTCAGCACTTGTATCTTTGAGAACCCTGCGATTAGAGGCCGGACCGGATTCCCTTTCTCAGTCGCAAAAGGCCCAGGCAACTTCGGCCTCACCTGGATGCAAAAAGGTAATACCACCTTCAGCAGCGGATCCTTCAGTACACGAAACAGGCAAGCATCTCTATCTCTCAAGTCTAGATCAGACAGCAAGGTAGCTGAGAGGAGTAAGCCAGCCTGTATACAAGTCTAGCACAGCAGCGTAGCCGAGAGGAGTGAGCTCATAACGGCTAGAACTTAAGTCAAGAAGGCTAACTTAGGCAGGGGTGAGGGGCGGTATATCCTTCCCAAGGGAAGTAATCAATGCCGCTCACTCGGGCCTCTCAACCGGAATGGGGAGGAGCGTGTGTGAGTGGTTATTGTATTCAATTTTGACTTGCCGGGGGAATAGGAAACGGACTGTTGCTCCCCAGAATGGCAGGAGCTGGAACCGAGAGGTTCTGAAAAAAAAAAAAAAAAAAAAAAAAAAAAAAAAAAAAAAAAAAAAAAAAAGAGGTATATGGCTCATCCGGCACATTTGGAACGAACAAGGAAACAGGTGGAAGACTCCAAGCGAACTCAAGACAAAGCTGTCAGGACTACATCATCTCACAGAGCATCTGTCCTCGATCATCCAGGCCATCCCAGCAGAGTGGGCACTCCTCCTATCACAGCAAGATCCGGTATACAGGGAACAACAATGGTTCAAGTCTTCAATAACGTCGAATACCTTCCACAGAGTGGAGAAAGTTCACACGGATGACACGGTGGAAGCCTCTGAATGGACCTTGGAAGATTCGCGATTGATTCAAACCAAGGACGCTCGGGAAACCTCACTGGAAGGCATGGAGGAAGTCAAGATCAAGCAGAAAAAGAATTCGGACAACACCTGAGAGGGTCTGAGGTTCCTTTGTTCTTGCCAACTACCCCTCACCCAAAGCTACCCCGCTCCCTTACCATGCAGGTTACTATTGATCCCTATCATCTTCAGACAGCAGTTTCATACATCTTCTTATATCACTTTCCCAACCTCTATTAACTTGGCATTAGCCGTAGTTCCTTACTGTTCTAGAAGCCAACCCGGGTAATGCTCCCGGTGCTAACAAATTCAGTGTTTTTATTGGTCACCACGGGTAGACTGTGAGGACCCCGGCCTCAAACCCCAGCCTCAAATTTTCCAGATCCTATGGGACGTTGGGCCCGTTTCCCAACTAGTGCAGCTCCCCACCCATAGATTGGAGCAGATTTGAACCGAAAAAAAAAAAAAAAGGACGGCGGTGGCCCGGCAACCAGCCCAATTCCAAGGTTAAAAAAA